TGTGTCTCACACAAGATCTGCTCCCTTTCTGACAGGGATCTTTCAAGTAACTTTGTAACTCATTACTCAGGGTCATATACGTTTCTTATTTCACTCCAGTCTGTCACTCAGACTTTCATATAACTTTTGTTTCCTTAAACTTTTCTTTACTGTTTCCTTATACATTCAACTTTTCTTCATACACAGAACTTAACTCTTGTATCACACACAAGACTGTCTCTCCCTCAGACTTCAGAACGAACTACTATCAACTGTCTTCATCAACTGTCCCAAACTGTAACTGTCACTCCCGACAGACATACATATTCATCCACTCAGAAACACTTCCAAAACCCCTCCCCGTTTCTGCCAATCACCAATCACACACACTTGCCTGTTTCAACCACTCTAGACTATCAGCCATGCAACCAAACTTTTAAAGCGACACACACACATATAACAAGGAATCATTACAACATACATTTCCTCAGTCTTTTGTTTTCTAATATGAACAGCTTCTCTAATTATCCAGCCACTAGCATAGGCCTTGAATGCATCCCACAAAGTTCTAATGGAAATATCTGGTTGTATATTTTAATTAAAAAACAATTCCTTTTTAGTCTCTGTTACAAACTTTTCATTCTTCAATAAAAACGTATTTAACATCCATCGGCTTTTCTTTGGTGTATCTTGTAGTGTAAGAACAACAGAATTGTGATCTGCAAAAGTTGCTGGTAATATTTCTGCTGCTAATAAATCATTTACAATTCTTGACGATATTCAGCACATATGTATTCTTGACCATGACTTATTCTCACTGAATAGAAAGTAAAGTAATTTTTATTGGGATTTCTCACTTTTTAAGAGTCCACCAGACTATTTTCTTCTGTCAGTTGTAAGAAAGAGTTTGGGAGTTCATTGCCTTTTTTGTTTTCCAGTTGTTGTTTTTCTGTCGGGAAGTCTATCAAATACTGCATTGTAATCTCCAATCAAACAAATATCATCAAAGTTTTGTTTAGAAATAAATTCTTGCAGACGTTTATAAAACTTATCCTGATGTTGATTTGGTGCATATATATTTACAACCAAGGTTACTTGTCTTTGTCTTTGTATTATCAAAATTCTGCCATCTTCAGAACTATAGAGCATCTCAGGGTGTTGGTGTTCTTTCGCATATGTAACTACACCTCTTTTCTTCTTTTCCTTATCAGAAGAAATAAAAGCTTTTCCAAAGTTTTTGATTTCTAAATGTTTTTGGTCTGTCTGTTTTATATGAGTCTCTTGTAGGCATATAACATCCAATTGCATCTTTTTTAATTGCTGAAATATCTGCCTTCTTTTTTGAGGTGTATTCAATCCATTAACATTTATTGAAATTATCTTCATTTTTCTTCTATCCATCTTGAGGTTGTGTGTTTGTATCATCTTCACTCTTGTGTTGAAGCCTTGTAACTATCTGTGATGCTGGAATCTATGCTGCGTTCTTGGTTTTTATGGTTGTCCGTGAAGCTCCTTGTACATTCTGATCTTCTTCCATTCGTCTCTGGCTCCTCCTCCTCCTCAATCATCAGCTCTTCTCCATGAGTTTTAATTAAATCTTCTGCCTTAAACATTGAGTTGATTCTATATCTTTTCCCTTTAAAAGTAAAAAGGATACCTTCCAGGAGTAGTCATTTATAAGTGATCTCATTTTTTTCTCAAAAAGTCCATGTATTCTTTCCTTTTCTCTCTCACTCTCCATGGGATTTCTTTCAAAATCTTTATTTCTGTGTCTTCTATTTGGAGTTTAGTTTGCAAATCTAAGTATTTCATCTCAGTGTTCTTTTATGAAATCTTACATGTACTTCTCTGGGAAGGTTGTTTCTTTTTGCATATGCTGAATTCATTCTGTAGGCCAAATCAATTTCATTATACACTTCATCTATGTTTTCTGTACCCATATATTTGGCCAAGGTCTGTGCCATCACATTTTTTATATTTTCATCTTTCTTTTCAGGAACATTTTGAAATCTTAAAATGTAAGCTGCATTGTCCAGTTCTGATTTCAGGTGGGGGCTGTGGCACATGCGTGATTTCCCAGCAGCGATTCGCCACTGAGAACTTCAGGTGTGTGCACTGCTGCCACGCTCACTGTAAGCAGGGCGGCAGGCTCTGTGCCTGAATTCCCAGTGGTGAATTGCTACTTGGAAATCAGGCGCACGTGCCACAGCTCCACCCCACAGGGCGTGCAGCTGGCAACCACCTCTCTCCCTTTCCTCCAGCCAGATTTAAAGGTCCCTCCAGCTGATCAGCAGGCCATGTGCTTCCTGCCGTTCAGGTGGAGGGGCCTATAAATCAAGCAGGAGGGGATGGAGAGGTTGCTGCTCTTGGGGGCAGGGCTTGGGTGGAGTTTGGGGCATCCCCGCCCAGCCTGGAATGACCCCAAATCCCCCCTACCGAAGCGAGGAAGGGACCTGGCAGCCCTAAATACCATACTACTAAAGGGCTTTTAAATGCCTTATGGAGCCGGTCTCCATTTTGAAATATGCATTTACAGGAAGTGAATTATACACTTATTAATGGTAATAAGAATTAATTAACGGTAACAGGATAGACGACACCAGCTTGATCTTGTCAGATTTCAGAAGCTAAGCAGGGGTGGCCCTGTTTAGTATTGGGATGGGAGACCATCAAGGAGTCCAAGGTCCCTGTGCAGAGGCAGGCAATGGAAAACCATCTCAGAAATTTATGGGACCAATAAGTCCTCGAGAGTATAACTGACAAAACTGGTACTTACATGAAAAATAACTCATCCAAGACGTTCAGTGCAAAGTGGTTTCCAATTCTGTCTTATCTATCGGAGGAAGAATACATACCTCCATCTTGGAAAGACTACTTGAAATGGTTCTGAAAATCCATATCATAAAACATTCCTCAGTTGCAACTGAATCAGGGTTTTCATGGAGCAAGGTCATTTAAAACGTATTAAGTAGAACATCAACAAATAATCTCTACATAGTCACTTCTAACAGTTACTCTTGATTGTATAGTATTCTCAAGCTATATACTTGTAATAATATTTTTAATGTACAATGTTTCAATTTTTCTCCAATATGATTAATGCAAATGTGCTCAAAAAAGCATTTGCTTACTAATTATTTACTCTGAAATCCTTATTACAGAAATGGTTGTATTTGTTAATATTCTGAATATATAATTAAAAAAATCAAATTTAAAAAAAAACAACCAACAGGGTCACCATACATTGGATGCAACTTGATGGCAAGGGGGGGAGAACCAAGAAAAGAAACATGGGAATGTAATGCTTTGAGCAGCTGAAATATGTCTAAAGGCATTTCTTCTGGTGATCTGATGAGGGCACATGCTGCAGCTTTGCTTTCATCTGTTTTCTACTTGATCATTTGTAAATAAAGCACACCCAGAGGCGATGTCATTACGCTGAGCACGTTGCTGGGGGGATGCTCTAGCATTTGGCCTGAAAATTCTATGGTATCATAATGTTTCCAAGCCGAATGCTAGAGTGTCCACCGGTGACGTGCCTAGCATGATGACGTCCCTTCCGAATGTCCCAGGCTGGGAACTACCCCCCCCCCCGCTGCAACTGGTGAGCGACCTGGCAACCCTAACCTGCCTCTGAAGCCACATACCAAATCATTCAGAACCTCCTAGTTCCCCACAGTCTGCTGGCTGATGCAGCCTGCTCCCTATTGCTTCTGGGTCAAACACATGGAGAAGAGTCTCATTACCACCCGCTTCATGAAAACGAAGGGACTCGGAACATCCCGGCCTGGGTGATCTGCAGGAGCCCCCAGCCCATTGCTATTTGCAATGGAAGCGAAGGTTGACTGTTTGTGGCAGGCATAATTAAGCAGACCATAAAGCCAGGAGTCTCACAATTGGCCACCAGCTCCAGGATGATCATGGAAGTTGCAGTGCCAAAGATTGACAAAATCAGGACATCCCTACCCCTAACCTCCAGAATGCCCCACCACCCCCCTTTCTACATTGTAAACTATAGTTTACTGTGGCAGGCAGGCATAACTCAATAGAAAATAAAGCGAGACAATACAGCCAGGAGAGGTAGTGTGGTGTCGCGGTTAGTGCTGGACTAGGATCTGAGACGAGATTCAGGTTCAAATCCCCATTCTGCCATGGGAGCTCACTGGGTGACACACTCAGCCCAACCGACCTCACAGGGTTGTTCTGAGCTTTGTTTCCCCATTAGGGAGTGTCCTGATCCTAGGCCTGTAGTAGTGCCGCCTACAGGCTCTAGGGAGGCCTAATGACTCCAGGGAAGCCTGTATTGAAGTAGCTATCAGGGCCTACATTTCCTAGGGCACCCTTTGGGCCCTGTGATTGCTAAGGGGGGATTTGGAGGGAAAACGTATACCAGCAGAGGGTGGTGCCTGGGAAGGAGGAATAACAGGCCTTGCCCAAAGTGGGAAGCTGTTCACTCACAGGTAGGGCTGCCAGGTCCCCTATGGGAGCGGAGGTTTGCCTGCTCAAAGGGCCCCTTGGATCCGGGGGGGCAGTGGGCTCTGGCCCGTAGTAACATGGGGCCCGCGGGGCCCAGCCCCCTAGTGTTTCTTCTGGGGCCCCTCCCTCCTGGGCTGACCCCAAACAACTTACCACCTGCACTGTACTTTCATTTAATTAGCTGGTGGCCCCCCGAAGCCCCCTCCCAAAGAATTCCCTAGCTATGGGGCTGTGTGGGCACCCTGCCCCCCAAATGCCTGGATCAGGCCGACCTGCCCGGAGCAATGGTGTGACCCAGAGGTGATGTCATGACGCTGGGCATGACGCTGCCGGGATGATCTAGCGGCCTGAAAACTCTATGGTACCAGTCTTGGGCATGTCCCCCGTCCTCCAAGAGGCCTGGAAGAAGATGATAAAGACTCTGCAAGCACTCTAGAAAGTTCTTTGAGGGCGCTTGGGAGAGCCTCCCATCTAGCCCAAGGGCTTTGTACTCATTCAGTGCAGCCTCTACTCCCCCCTGTATACTGTCCTCGCAGCCCTGTGAGATGGAGGTTAGGTTGAAAGGGAGTGGCCGGTCCCTCACTTGAGGCCCTGCGCCCTCCATTCTCCAGGCAGAGGCCACATCTGTCCCATCCCTTCCTTTCTCTCGATCTCTCCTGCTTTTAATCTGCACCTCTGCAGTCCTTCCGTGCATTTCGGCACAGCCTGTGCAAGTCAGTCGGTACTGGCGGCTCCAGGGGGCCTTCAGGCAGCTCCCGCTCTTTCCAGGGGACCTTCCGGGCCTTTGCTCTTTAGTCTGGATTCTAGAAGAGACCTGAAGGAGCCGGCGGCCTCGGTGAAGAACTGGCTGATAAACGAAGGCAACAGGGCAGGATGGATCCCGGGGGGGAGGGGGGGAGCCCGAAGTGGGGTAGCAGACCTGTTGCCTCGGAGGGCATCCGTGCCTCAACTATAGGCGTGCCCCCCTCCCCCCAGTGACTACTTTACAGATCCCAGAAGCCTCGAGGTCTCCCTCCTTCCAAAGGTAAGTTTTGCCCCTGGAACTTGCAGAAAGTCAACTGAGAAGTGGAGTCGTTTCCAGGAAAGGAAGCACCAAACTCGGCCTGAAAGCAGTAAAAAAAAGGAAGTAACCTCGTGGCTTTCTGCTGGGTCTTTGTGCACGCGTCAACCCTTTTTTCATGAAGGGGTTAAACTGATGTTGACGTATGCTAATGAAAGCGAGTTTAGCGCTGAGGACCAATAAAATACCGAGAAGACCTTCCTGCCACAGAAGGGGAAGGTTTATTCGTAATCAGGTGGCCTTTAGCCTAACTATTGACTGGTCAGGGCTTTTTGGTGGTCGTGCCGCTATCTTGCAAGGACGCAGTAGAAGTTTGGGGAGGGGGGATCTGCGTCCGTTTGTTCGGGAGTTAGAAGAGAAGACACCGCGCTGTAGACAAAATGGTGTAGATTAGGGAGGTAGATAGACTGTTCCTTATTTTCTCCTTTTCTTCCATGCAATCCCTTCCCTGGTTTTTCTAAGATCTAAACGCACTTGGCTGTGCTTTTATTTCTTTTTGCTGCTGCACAGATACTCTGCGCAGCAAGTCAGTCGAGACGCTGAGTCATTTCCAGGAAGGGAGACCCCCTCCTCCAACGCCGCTTGAAACTGATAAAAATGAAACTAACATCGTGGCTTTCTGCTGGGTTTTGGTGCACTTGTCATGAAGGGGTTAAGCTTGTGTTTACATATGCTAATGAAAGCGAGCTTAGCGCCGAAGACCAATAAGGTACTCGGAAGATCTTCCTGCCACAGAAGGCGAAGGTCCATTCATAATAACGTGACCTCCAGCCTGACCATTGGCTGGTCAGTACTTTGGTGGTCGTGCCTGCTATCTGGCAGGGACGCAAAAGGAGGAGTTTTTCGGGGCGGGGGTCCTCCTTTTTCCGTTCGGGAGTTGTTACAAGAGAAGACGCTTGAAAGTGGTGTCGATTAGCGGGTTTGTCTAACTGTTCTTTTTGTCTCTTTTTCTTCCATGTAATCCGTTCCCTGGTCTTTCTAGTAAAGTTCTTCTTAGAACTGAACCCACGAGGCCATCCATGCATTTATTTTCTTTTTGCTGCTACACGGATACTCTGTGCAGCGAGTCAGCTGAGACGCGGAGTCATTTCCAGGAAGGGAAACCCCCGACCTCGGCTTGGAAGTAGTAAAAAAGGAAGTAATATTGAAGCTTCCTGGGGGGGGGGGGGAGGCGGCCATGGCCAGCGGGGGTCCCGGGCGGGGGCTGAGGAAGTGACCTGTCCCATCTGCCTGGAGTATTTCAAGGATCCGGCCACGATCGCCGAGTGCGGCCACAGCTTCTGCCGGGCCTGCCTGACCCGCAGCTGGGGGGAGTCGGGGACCGCCGAGGCTTCCTGCCCCCAGTGCAGAGGAAAGGCTCAGGAGGGGACCCTCCGGCCGAATCGGCAGCTGGCCAACATCGTGGAAATAACTAGGAAGCTCAGCCTCCAGATGGAAGAAGGAAGGAAGGAAGAAGCCCGGGAGAAAATCTGTGAGAAACACCGGGAGCCCCTGAAGCTTTTCTGCCAAACTGATGAGATCCTCCTCTGCTGGGTCTGTGACAGATCCAAGGAGCACAAAAGCCACGAGGTGATTCCTGCCGAGGAGGCTGCCCAGGAATACAAGGTAGGAAACGGTGTGGACCATCTTGATGTTTCTCTGTAGATTTCCTTCTCTAAGTCCTGTGCTTCAGCTAAGATGGCCAGGGCTAACCTTGTGCTGCAGTAACTACCCCCCTCCCCCTCTAATGCTCTCATAGCAGCTCCCTTGAAAGCAAAATAATGGGGGGGGGGAGAGCAAGTGAGCACAGCAACAATACAAAGAGACCGAAAATTGTTGTGTTAGTGCCTGGGGTTTGCTGAGGAAAGCCCCCCCTAATATCCACATTTATGAGCAGGGTTGCATTCAGGCTTTATAGTATCAAGCACTGGATAGAATTGTCTGTGTATCTCCCATACCCTTCTTATTTCTTTGTTTGTTTATGCCATTTATCCTCTGCCTATCTCACAGGGACTCAAGGTGGAGTACTCATACTGAGCCAGTACGATCAACAAATAGGACATTCAGTAACCAACACAGTGGGATTTTAAAAGTCCAGAACTACCAAAAAGAATGGAAGTGTAGCATAAGTATTCACATGACACATTAAGTGGCACAGAAAGTACATAAATAGGACCCTAATTATGATAAGCTATGCACAACAGCATAGACCACACTCCCTAATCATTCATCCAAGCAAGTTTATAAAATTAGGTCAGCCGCATCCAAGTAAGAGGCCATTTTTCAGGCTAGGCTAAGTTGGTAGAAAGCCTTTTTCTTGAGTTTGGATCCAAGTCTGCCTGTGGGAATAAGTGTCTGTGTGAGAGTAGCAAGCTCAGGGCTGTCATTGCCCTGCAGCCTAACCTACCTCGCAGGCTTGTTGTGATGATAAAATGGAGGGGGGAAAGTTATGTTTTCTGCTACTCTGAATTCCATGGAAGAAGGATAAAATGCATTAAAAAAACAAACAGGTAAAGGAAAGAGAGGGGTGGGAAGCCCTTGAATCTTGCCTGGTAGCTCAGTGGGAAGGACACTGCAGTGGGGAGGAAGGGGCCCAAGTCCCTCTGAGGGTAATGGAAGTGTCACTTTTGCAAGGCCAGGCCTACCTCTTGGAGGTCCAGCTTGCTGCAGTAACTTTCAGGGGTTCTGTGGGGGGAACTGGGGTGACAAAATCCCCAGGGCCAAAGTCAGCTGGAGGGCCCCTGAAGCCAATGCATCCCGCTTTATTTGACTTCCAATGCAGTTCTGCACTGCCGCCACTAGGGAAGGTCAGCAAATATCAAGCTCTGCTTTCTGCTCCCTCTGCCTTTCTGCCAAGTTTACTCCTAGGAGGGAAACACTTGCCCATCCTGCTAAAACCCATCTACCAAGCCAGCACTGCAGCAAGGTCACACCAGCCAGCGCAGCTCAGGGCTGCTAGAGTCATTGCGGGGCTTCAGCCTCCTAACAAGGTTATTGCTTCCAGCGGTTTCCCTATTCCTTTCCTTCCACTCAGTTCATAGTTTGTCTGCTCCGTTGGATCTTCCCCTTTAGTATGTTGTTAAAAAGAAAACAACCTTTCCTCTTTTCTTAATTTCTCTTCCCCTTTCCCACACTTTTCTCCATTTTGCTCTCTTCCTTTCATGATATGCCTTCAACCTATTTAGAAGATATTCTTAAGATTGATGCCAAGCAATCCGTTGACAGAATGTTGTATCGTTTACTGGCTTCACAATATATAGCGGTTATTGAAGCGGTTGCTAAGTTCTGTAACTGCCTTATAATGAGGAGGCTGTGTGTTAAATCCATGAAATGAATGGCGATTGTGTATGATTCGGATCTATGCCAATAAAGGTTTTGAACTTGACTTGAACTTGATATGCCTTCATGTCTCTCTCCTCTCTTCAAATTCCTTCCCCCTTATTTGTCAATCTCGGTCTCAGTGCCTCATTCCTGTCCTACCGGGCCCAAAAAACAGTCCTTCTTACAGTTGCCAAGTGGCCTGGAGAAAAATATCATGTCCCTTTAGTAAGTCATTTACCACCCATGATGGGAGCCCAGGGAGCGAGGGTGGCATGGTATAGCCCAGTCTCATCAGATCTTAGAAGCTAAGCAGGGACAGCCCTGGTTAGGACTTGGATGAGAGACCTCCAAGAAGGACAGCAGAGGAAGGCAAACGGCAAACCGCCTTTGCTTTTCACTTGATTTGAAAGCCCCTTGATGGGGTCCCCATAAGTCAGCTGCAACTTGAGGGCACTCCCCACAAAAATGGGAGTCCACGCGGGAAACATCCCTGTGTGACTGAAACATGCAGATCAAGCCCTCCTTCTTAGACCAAAGGGACAGGAGGAAGGAACAGAGAGTCATGCGATGTGCTAGTGGCAGACGTACCAGGTTGCAGCTTCCAAACCTCACTGCTCTGGCCTCCCTGTATGGAGCAATGGAAGCAAAACGGGTTGAGTGGGGGACGGGAATGTGATCATGCAAGGCCCTTTGCCCAGTCTCCCCCTGCCGAGGTTTGCGCGGTGCCAGCCCACTGCAGGTTGCGAGTGAATGTGAGAGTATCACAGAAGACGTAAGTCTTATTGGCTTAGTGTAAAAGCTATATACATTCATTTACACAAGCCTCCACCAAGATCATACACACAACGACAAAATGCTCACGCAGACACCAGGTTTTCATCAGGAAGGGAAAGTACACTGTACATCATCACATATATACAAGCATTGTCCAATCAGGACCCAGTGCTGAGTCACTGTTAATTAGATCTGCTCCGAACTAGACAGAACCGGTTGGAGCCAGCTCTACTGACACTCTGAGCTGTCAGCTCCTGTCAAACAGATTGATATGATCTACAGCCAGACTTATAGAACACACCAACCCAAGGATGACAGCGACCCGCACTCACAGATCCTTCATCTTCCCAGACCTTGCAGAAGCCCACAGAACATCTGATTTGACTTTTCCTAAGGCTCAGTTCCATCCAATGCTGGATATCCTGTGAACAGAGTCTCCTCCTTGCAGGGTTTCCGAATGAGGCTGCCGCAGGAGGGGAGGTGAAGCCAGGGATCCCCCCACCTTTTTGAACCTGTGGGCACCGTTGGGGTTCTGACACAGGGTTGTGGGTGCAGCCACAAAAGAGCTGCCCCATGAGGTGGAGCCACACAAGGAAGTTGAAGTGTGAGGAGAAGAGGGGTAAATTAAAACACACACTGTGAGAAAGACAAGTGAGAGGAAACCCTGGTGACCATAAAATGAGGCTAATCTTGGGATATCTGGGGTGAGTTTAGTTTAGTGTATTTTTTTAAAATACTGCTCTTCTCCCCTTTGCTTGGGCTTCCTTTATGTGTTTGACTGTGCTTCCTGTGGCAGCCATTTTGGGCTTTGGCTCCACCTCCTCTATCAGGTATTTGGGGATTGTGCTCACCTCCCCGTGTCAGAATTCCAAAGGTGCCCAGAGGCATATAGAGGCTCAACACACACACACACACGACCATGCAGGGCAGGCAACAGAGCCAAGTGCATCATTTCAGTGAACCCTTTCTCTGATTTTATAGTTTTTTTTATACATATGCATAGCAAACCTCAAAAACCAACCAAAAAACAAACAGGAACTAATCCTGTTTTCTCATTTTTTCCCCCTTTAGGATAAAATCTTCAATTCCCTGGAGACTCTGAGGACTGAGAGGGAGAAAATTCTGGAAGATATACAAGATGCTGAAGATTATAGCCAAGAAATGCTTGTAAGTGCCCCAGTTGCTGGAAGTCAACAAGAACTGGGACTAATATCTCAAAAAACCAATATTCCATATGCAAGAAGAGTCCAAAACCAGAAGGGTAGTCCCAGTCCTCAGAATGGATATCTGTCATTGTGAATGGCCTGGTCTGTCACAGAACAGCCGTTCTAAGGGCCAAACTACAGATGCCTTTTTTCCTGCAGATTTTTTTCTTCTACAATAGCTGCAGAAGGTGCAGTCTGGATCAGAAGATGGAGGAGGAGGGTCTTTGAAGGCATTTATCACCTCACTTTTTTTTTGGGGGGGGGGATTATGCCCCCACCCCAGATTTCCATGATATACACAAAAAGTGCAGATGGTAAAACAGTGCAGAGGGTCAGTTTTGGTGCGAAACTGCCGATCTTTGCTGCATTTTGCACAGGTAAAGTGATCCTGTGGGAAAGCTACAGATAACTGAACACCATGTTAGCCTCTGGAACAGGCTTTGGGAACACTTGCATGTGTGTATTTATTCACAGGAAGCACAGTGTCTGCTGCTGTCTTCACCTTTGGGTGCATGTAAAGGGATATCAACATGCCATTTTTTCTTCCACCAGCCAGGTGTGCAGATGTGAGAAGCACCCACTGGTGACCAGAGAATCCCCACCTCCAATGGGGGCTTGTCTAACCTACCTCTTTATCATGCTGGATCTATGCAAAGTATTGATGTGATCACTGGGGAAAATCACCAGTGTCCTTTCTAACTGATTTGACCCTCCGAAAACAAATAACATTCATGACTCTTTCTTTCTTTCTGATTGGCATACAGTTTGGTGTAGTGGTTAAGTGCACGGACTCTAATCTGGGAGAACTGGGTTTGATTCCCCACTCCTCCACTTGCACCTGGCTGGATGACCTTGGGCAAGACATAGTTCTGATAAGAGCTGTTCTTGAAAAAAGAGCAGTTTCTGTCAAGCGCTCTCTCAGCCCCACCTATCTCACAGGGTGTCTGTTGTGGGGAGGAGAAGGGAAAGGAGTTTGTAAGCCGCTCCGAGACTCCTTTGGGTAGTGAAGGGCCATGGGGTATAAATCCTTTCTTTCTTTCTTTCTTTCTTTCTTTCTTTCTTTCTTTCTTTCTTTCTTTCTTTCTTTCTTTCTTTCTTTCTTTCTTTCAGAGAACAACAGAATCAGAGAGACAAAGGAGAGTGGCTGACTTCAGAATTCTACACCAGTTGTTGAATAAACATGAAAAAGATCATTTGGCCAAGATAGAGGAGGTGGAGAAGGAGATTGCAAGGAAAAGGGACGAGTACCTGGCCAGACTCTCTGAGGGACTCTCCTCTCTCGAAAGCCTCATCCAGGAGATGGAGGAGAAGCATCAGCAGCCAGGGAGCGAACTCCTGCAGGTGGGACACTGGTAGAAAATGTTCAGGATCATCCTCAACTGGAGAGTATTTGCTAACCTTTTCTAATGAAAACAGGGCCACACTATGAAGACAAATCCCCAGTTCTTGAGTGAAGTGTGGTAGGCCTGAAGGGATTTCTGTAGCCTTCACCTACCTGGCAAAGATTCTCCATTTCCCTGTCTTTCATCACCACCATGAATGCAGAGTTATTTGCACTGGCAACGAAGTGTGCACATGCGAGTTTTCTGTACAGTTTCCTCCATCGGCTGCCATTTCCACTGTAATCCCCCCACCTGTGCCACTGGAGGGCTTTTAAAAAATCAATAGCTGCTATCTCCCTATAGCACAATCCCGTAACAATCTACTGCCACAGTCTGCTAGTTCCTCTGACTACCCAGCTGTCATTTCTTCAAAGAAGTGGCTAGTGCTTCTTTTTTTTTTTTTTTCATGGCTAGTCCCCTTATATCTTTGTAATGAAAAGGACTAGAGACCTTTTCCTAAAAGTGAAAGCTATAGCATGGTAGCAATCAGCAGTTGAAAAACAGCTCTTTGGTGGCACAGCAAGGAGAACAGCGGCCTTGATGGTCTGACAGATGGAAAGTGGTACTAATGTGAGCAGAACCTTGAAAATAAGCAATGGACTGCATTGTTTGAGAAGAAACATACTGACAACAAGAAAAGGTTGAAAAGGGGACAATTGAAAGATGAGGGAATGTGAATGTTCCAAATAAACCCACTGCAGAGAAAAATTTCCTTGTGCTGGTGTGGTCCGCGGCAGCCACTGAGTTTCCTTTTCTTTCTCTTCCTTCCTTCCAGGACGTCAGAGGCACCTTGCAGAGGTAAGTGGATCCCATTCCTTTCCCTTCGTCATTTTCAAAGGCTGTGGGTAACATAAAGTTCCAAGCCCTGCGTCGACATGGCAAACAGAATGAGCTCTAAGGGGGTGGAGTGGGGAGTCTGGAGAGGGGGAGTATCGCTGATGCTGTGATGTCACTTCCGGGTGATCACCTGGAAGTCGCTTCCCACACTTCTCTAGGAATTTTCCCATCTCCATGGTAAGAGTCTGTCCTGACTGCTGGCACCCAGAGGCAGTTTCTCGGCATCACAGCTTGTAAAGCAGTTCCAGGGCCAGGCTTCAAAATACAGTTCCAAGGTTGAGGCGCAGGGCAGGCAGCACTCACAGCTTCAAGTCCACAGGAACATCCAGGAACAAGGATGCAAAGGGACAGGCCAGGGACAGAGACGGAGAAGTCCATCCGGAGCACAGGCCGCAAGGTCAGTCCTTAACACTCAGCCACCCCCTTCTCTGCTGCTTTTGAGCACCACGCTTGCTCAGCAGCCTGTCCTGAGTCAGGCACCTCCCGGCTGCCTCAGCCCTGCTCCTGCAAGCACTCGTCCTCCCTGTTGGTGCCTGGCCAGTGCTGTGCTGCTAGGCATGCTCTGCACCTTCTCTCTAGAAAGTCTCTCCTCATCTTCCTCCTACAATGTTCCCAAGACTCTGGCAACCGGGGTGTGTGTGTGAACTGACCGGCAGCTGACTCTCTGTTGCCAGCTCAGGGCTGGGGGGGCGGAGGGGCCAGTGCGCTGGTTTCTGGCTGAGGACCTGTGTCTGGCCCCTCAGAGACTGCCTCCTCCTTCAGTGCCTCGACCCCTGGCTGTGGGTTGGGGTCAGGTCCACTGGCTGCCTCCTCCTGAGAGGAGTCTTCAGCGTCTCTTTGCTCTGCTGAGTTTGGCTGGTCCACCACACAACCATGGAGATGAGAGAAAATTCCTTGAGTGGTGTGTCTGGTAACCCAGAAGTGACATCACTATGTCTGCGATGTCACTTCCCCCCAATCTTTGTCTCACTGCTCAGTTGATCAAGCGTGAGGAATGAAGTGTCAGCTTTGCTGCTATGGGAGGGGCAACTGGTGACCCTCGGACAGCCTGAGAAGTGGTTGGTCCTTGGGCTCCATGGAAGAGCAGGCAGGACTCCACGTACTTCAGTGTTTCAGGCTGCATTTCTCCCCAAAGGGACCCTGAAGTGGCTTACACAAAAGAGAGAAGATTCTACAGCACAAAAACAACTAGACAAACCCAGAAAAGCCACGACACATCCAGGTTGTTCCCAGTCCACCAAGCTTACCATCGCAGGTCCCAGGCTGTGAAACCAGGGTCTCTTGCCCTTCCCCTTGCACCCAAGGGCTCCTCCCTCTGGCCCCACCCAGGCTTGGAATACCTGCAGGAAGAAGGCTCTTCTGAGGAGGCTGCCACAGGAGGCAGTAGGGTTTCCCGGTCCTATTTTGTCCCCAGCGGGGGGGTTTGAGGAGCATGCCAGGAGGGGGAGGGGCCATCCCCGACGCGATGACATTGTGCAGAGCAGTGTCATCATGACAGGGGCCCAGCGCCGTGTGCGCATCCCCCTCCCGTTTCCCCCCACCCATTTAAAGGGAACCTTCCCTTTAAACTTGGGAAGGGAGCGAGGAACGCGGATTCACTGCTTGCAGGGCAGACATGCACGGCCTCCGCTCTTTTCAAGCAGGGCCGCGGACAGCTGCTGAGGCGGGGCTTCTCCCTAGCTGGCTGGCGTCTGGGGGCAGCCCAAAAAACTGGGGGATCCCCCCCCTCCTGGGGACTGGCATCCCTCAGAGGCAAAGCCAGCCACAAAACGGCTCTGCTGCAGCTTCCCTTCAGTCACACAGTCAAAGCCCTATTTTTTTAAAATTCTGCCCAGCCAATCAAATCTCAAGTGGCCAATCAGAAGCTCTGCTGGGCAAAAGCCCACCTGGCCCCGCCCACTTTCTTTAAACACTTTGTGGACCCCAAGAAAGGTGTCGGCAGGCACCATAAGCACCTACGGACACGATATTGGGGAGCAATGCTCCCTCTAAGCTGTGGAGTCCTGTGCGCAAAAATTCTACTTTGCGAACTACGGGCAGTAAACTTGTGAGCGAGCAATTTGGCTGCTGCATAAATGAGTTTGCTCTGGAGCCCCATCCTTCCTGAGCTAAGACAAAAACGTGTGAGCCGGAGGCTAAAAAACTGAGCTAGCTCACACTAATGACTCGCTCATATTTGTACATGTGTAGGAGAGATGTTTTTAATCGTTTGTCCACGGGCCTTGAGACACATTCCGAGTTATCATCGTGACACTCTGGAGGCTCTTTCAAGTTCACTCTACCAAAGGGAAGGCGAAAGGGGGAGGTGGAATCCTCTCCCCCGTCTCCCCCATCAGCACAGACAATTTCGAGAGGGGGGATTCTTGGCTGACTCAGGACAGCCCATTACAGGGCAGCCCTCAGCAGAGTTAACCCCCTCCTCAGCCCCTTGACTTCCACGTACTTAGAAAGGGAGTCACTCTTCTTTAGGACTCCGCTGCTAATTCACTGAACTCTCTGGGTAGTCTGGAGACCAAGAGGCCACGAAGTCCATGAAAAATATTGGATGCATACGCTTTGAGAAATTCAAAAGAAACATGAAATCGGAACAACATTACATCGGAGTTTCTGTATATGTCCTCAAGCGGCAGCCACTGAAGTAAAGCCACGGGCAATGATGCCCCATTTCGTTTCTTCTCTCATCACTGGGGTCATGTGAGGAGGAGACCCCCCAGGTGATGTCCGGAAGGCCTTCTCAGTCGTGGCACCAAAATTATCGAAACTCCTTCCCAGGGAGATTCATCTGTTCCCCTCCCTTATGATCTTGCACCTGCCGGGTGAAGAACTTTGCTGAATTGTTTGGTGTTCCCTCACTGGACCCTCATTTCTTTTTCTGTGTTTGTATATTTTCTTTCGCTTTTTTGGATTTTAACGCTTGTTTCAACGTTTTTGATTGACTGCTGCCATGGGGACTCTACCTTGGGTGGAAAGGCAACATAAAAATGTTTTAAATATAAACAAAGGAATAAGAAAACATATTCCTGATAGCGTCTCATTTGAGGCCTGCAGTGAGACGACCTTACCTACCCTAAAGGCCCTTATGCATTTCTTCTCCTGCCTGCTTTGCTACACTTTCAGCCATTCGTTGCCTAGGTTCCCTTGCTCGAAAGCCAGTCGAATCCGACTCTAGGGTTGCGGTGCTCATCTCTGTTTCAAAGCCGAAGAGCCAGCGCTGTCCGAAGACGTTTCCGTGGTCATGTGGCTGGCATGACTAAACACCAAGGCGGACGGAACGCTGTTACCTTCCCACCGAAGCGGTACCTATTTATCTACTTGCAATTTCTTGCTTTCGAACTGCTAGGTTGGCAGGAGCTGGAACTAGAGACGGGAGCTCACTCCATCATGCGGCCACCCGGGTCTCGAACTGCTG